TGTGCTAGACAGTGTACTCATTGGTTTACATACAGCGGTTCTCAACCTTCCTAATGCCGCGACCCCTTAATACAGTTCCTCAATGTTGTGGTGACCCCCAACCATAAAATTATTTTCGTTGCTATTCTATAACTGTAATTTTGCTACTGTTAGGAATCGTAATGTAAATATCCTTTTGTTTTCCGATCATCTTAGGCGACCCCTGTGAAAGGGTCGTTTGACCCCCAAAGGGGTCGCGACCCACAGGTTGAGAACCGCTGCTTTACAAGGATTAGCTCGTTTAATCCTCATACCAACCCTATGAGATAGGTGCTATTATTCTCACTTTATAGATGAGGAATAGAGAGGTTAAACAATTTATCAAGATCACCCATCTAGTAACTAAGTATCACTACAGTAATGCTTGAGTTTTGAAACACTTAAATAAAAGTAACCTGCTGAATGTGTCAGAATAAAATTCAAAGTTCTCCAACTTGGGAGTGAGTACAAAGGCACCAGACCAAATTCCAGGATCTTTATCTTTCAATGAACCAGATAAGTAAAAAAACCAAAACACTAATTTTATAAAGTAGAAACTTTCCCCAAACTCACTTTTATCAAGGTGGCAATATGTGTCATTTAATTCAACCTATAATATTTCAGGTTGCCAATGTTAAAACTCCCTGGGTTTAGCAGTCCTCAAATCTCTTATGTGGTCAACTTCCTCCAACTCTCAAAAGTATACACTTCACAAGACCCTGAAGCCTTATACTGTAATACTCTGTCCCAGAGTTGTTACATTTTTAAGCACAACATACACACTTTCCTCTAGCAAAGATGAGCTATAGACAAAAAGGTATTTATAATATGCCCACCAAATGACTGAGGTTTCTGTTTGTGGGGTGTTTTGTGTTTTGGTTTTGCATTATGAAAATGACCATGTGGGCATTTGGAAGCCTTACCATCTGATAAAGAAGGTCAAATTATATATGATGCTTTGATAATCCATCAACAATATTCTATCATTGGCAATGAGTGTATTTCAGGCTACCCCATGATTATATTACCAGGTAAACTGGAACCCTTACTGTGAGATAAAACACAGCAGACAGTTGTTAATGAAACCTTAATTGAACTGTCAAAGCACCATCTTTACCAGAAAGCTAACAGGTAATTCACTATTTTTACACAACTGCCTGATACTGATAGTTATTCCACTAGTTAAATTCAGCAGAGAGAGAGAAGAAAGCAAGCCTGGTAGACTAAACTGTTCTATGATAAATTGGAATGGTAAAATGCTACATCACTTCTACAAATATCTCTTCTCTACACGGAGGAACAACAATATCCCTCAAGATTACATGCAACGTTTTTAGCCATCAGTACCACTGGGTGCCTATGCATAAAAAGACATGAGAGCAGATATAGTTTCCTATGCTATGCCTAAAGAAAAATACTTGCAAAATGCATTAAATATACTTGAATCTAAGTGACTCTTCTAATGCCCAAGTAGGTATATGGTGCATTGAATCAAATGATGTGTCATTGGGAGAATATTTTTATGTTCCATTTTAATCATTTTAGAAAATAATGGTTTCTATTGGATGCTTTCTAAATTAGACAGAAAAATTCTGGTTGAGTTAGTAAAAAGGTAAAAAACATCACTAATATCTTTAGCTTGGGTTTCAGAATACAAGTGCAATTCATTCTGGTTTGGTGTTCAAATCTCTAGTTTTAATAATCTTACTCAGGTCACACAGCAGTTATATTCCAAATACAATAAGCAATTCAGACAGCAAGTCATCAATATGTAAATATAAAAATAGAAAAGTATTTGCATACTAAAACACACCTGGAAACTCTTCCCTTTTTTTTCATACCAAATTGTATTTCACCTGTAACAGCTGATAAAAACACTCAATGCAGCTAACTAGAAAAATCTGGCTAAAGAACAAAGAAGGACCTGACCAGATCAAGTAACCAAGCAGCAAAGATGCCGCAGCACTGTGCTAAGTGCTGGGGAGAAAAAGTATTGTAGTACTCTAGCAGACCACAGTCCTTACCCTCAAGGGGCTTACAAATGTAGTCCATGAAACAGGCAAACACAAAACTGGTGTACTACAATAGAAGAGAGTACACAGAAGGAGATACTTCAAGTACACGGAACAAACCCATAGGTGGTAGAAGGGGGCAATCAATGAATCTAGAATGAATTCAAATCAAACATTCAGATTTTCATGTATCAGTAATTCAGAACACCCACTACCAGAATGTTCCCTGTGGGAGATAGTTCGGCACCCTCCCCTTTAAAAATAAAAACTTTTCCCTTAGCACCAACTTGAAGTTAAAACTTCTACAAATCACATCACCATTTGATAGAAATATAGGTGAGTAACAACACCTTTATAATCAAGAATGCTGCAACTCACTTCCCCTTCAGTATCTCCAGTTCTTAGCATTGTACACAAAGTACTGTAATGAAAAAGCATCCAGGTCTAAGAAGATCCACACACATTCTCAATAAATCTGTGATAAATTTTAAAGCAAGGAACAGCCTTTTTCCTGTCCACTCTCATCCCACTCCCCCCTCCCTACAAGCTCTGAAATCCTCACGGGTCAGGCAAGAGATGGAAGTTCACAGTGTAATCCCTAAGGATAGGCTATGGAAGGGAGGAGAGGAAGGCAGAACAGGCCGGTCCCTGAGCAGAGTGACTGAAGAGGCACCATTACCGGCTATACTCTTTCCCACTAAGAATCCCACACACCTTAGAGAAGCAAGCACTACAGCACTACCTCCTGGAAGAGCTAGCTGGGCAAACACTGGACTCTACTAGTTTAAAAAAAAATCAGATCATTTAGTAGCCTAGATTGTAAAATCTGAAATATATATATATATATATAAAGGTGGCCAGATTTAATGCAAAAATGATACTCATCGATTATAGCCTGAAAACAGCGAGGAAAGGAAACATTTACCAGGCTAGTTCCAAAGAGTTCATTCTTTTTCCTGTGGCGATGGGGGCTTTTCTAGACATTAACAGGAATCTATTTTTGAACACACTCAAAACATCAGTTCATCTAGCCACACCAGAATACTTAACCCTTGGGGAGGGAAGGGGGAGGGGACTCAGTGCACTCTAGTTTTGATAGGAATAGAAGAACCCTACAATGATGAATACATTTTATTATACACTACTAATCTTCCTAAGAAGGGTAAATAGACAAAATGTTGCATTTAAGAAGCTCTTAGACTTAAAAATACCATAGCATTAGTAAAGGTATAAGAATTTCGTGTTTAAAAAGTATACTTCCTACTACAGCAACCAAGGGATAACAGGAACTTAAGAGGCACTAAATGACACTAACACATTACACCAAATGTGGGCCACTGCATAGCTACAGTCTACTGACCTCATTTGTGGTACTCATGTGTGATGCTATATTTAATGCATTCTTATCAAAAGGCTAAAGCTACATACTTCCCAAATGTAACTTTATAATTTAAAATAAACCACTCAAGAAATGACTTAACTGGTTCAACTATGAACCCTATCTTCTTTCTGGGGATCAAGATCACAAATTAAGGACTGAAAAGACAGAAAGGACAGCCAAGCAGTTGTGCAAAGTACGTACATCCCAACGGCAAGATGAATGAAAGGAATTGAGTTTGGGCCAGTTGTGACATTTGCTGCAACTGGGCAACTGATTCAAACTACATCAAACAGGAGACATGACCCAGGTCTTTGTAGGAATAAGCATTTCACACAGTCATCTATTGAGCCTACATTTAGTGGCTTGCTTAGGCTCTAAAGGAAAAGTTTGGTAGGGAGCAAACTCATGTATGTTACCCATCAGAGGGTTCTCCACCAACATCTGCCATGACTCAAAAGCATAAGCCTACACAGCCAATGCACTTTGCCACGTAAGTGAGGGTGTCATCCAACAGTTAGGTGGGGACGCTTGCTCCACCTTGGTCAACATGGAGAAAACCATGAGATGACTCACCCAATCACAACCATGAGAGGAAACCAAGAGAAGTTGTGTGTTTTCTTCTGATACTCACCAGACAACACCAAAGGCTCCATATCCAATAGGTCTATCCGGCTCAATATCCAGCTGCTGTTGTGGATGATGCGAGTGCTGATGATGGTGCGCCTTAACTGTAGCAGCTGCGGCAGCCTGTACCTGAGCTGGGGCTGCTGCAGCTGGGCCAGGAGCCTGACCCGGTGCCGGTGATGGGAAATATGGCTGTTGTTGCCCAGGGTTTAACATGGCTGCAGCTGCGGCCGCTGCTGCGGCTGCCGCAGCTGCCGAAGAAGTATGCTGCTGTACAGGGTGTACAGCAGCAGCCGACCCCGGATGAAGGTGGTGTTGAGGGTGGTGGTGGTGGTGAAGGTGAGGAGGAGGGAGGTGTGGAAGGTGGTGGTGATGGTGGTGGTGGTGACCTGCCGCTGCTGCAGATGTACCGCCATTGTAAGCCGCCATCATTTTTGCGTTGGCTCTTGCGCCACAAAGAGACATTCAAAAAAAATGCTCTTTGATTGGAAAGCAAACTGGGTCAAGCTGTCATTTGGCCATTTAAAAATGAAGAAAAACCACTCACTCCACCTCCAAAAACATGGAGCGTAACTGGCCTTACGTCTTCATCAATCAATCCACACAAGAAGATCTTGGTGTTTAAATTTGGGGTGAGCGTGTGTGGAGGGGTGTGGGTTACCAAAAAAAATAAAATAAAACGAAAAAGAAAAAGAAAAGAAAAAGGAAAAAGGGACCCCTTCCCCCCAGGTTTCCTGCCACAAGTGGGTACTAAAACTCCATCCTTAATTTGGGGGCTGGTTCCAACTTCGAATGTGGGAATAAAGGCCAAACCTCCGGACCCCCTGAACTCCACACACGAAAAGGATCAGGTAACACACCACCCTTGGAATCTTGTAAGAGGATTGACTCATCTACCCCTTCCATTCCCACATCCTTTTTTAAACACTACCACCTCCTCAAAAATACAATTTTAAAAAAAATTCCAACCACCCCAAATTAAAAAGATGAGGGGAAATTTCCAGGGAAATCAGCTTCCCACCCCCCTCGAACTCTCAGGCCTCCCTACATCTCCCCCTGCTCCTAGTCAGGTTGACCTGATTGGACTGGGGGTACTAAACTTTCCTGAACAGAAAAGAGCCAGGCAAGGAGGCAGGAGGGACAGAGTGAGCAGAGGAGGCGACAGGGCAGGACAGAGAGGAGAAAGAGAACCGGGGCAAAGTGAAGGTAAGGAGGTGCAGAGAGGAATGAAAGAGAGGTGGGCAGCACTCGGACGTTCAGACAGAGGGAACCGCCCCGGGATGAGGTTAGGGTCCCGGGGCCAAAGAATAGCAGCCCCCGGGAGGCGGGCGGGGTGCAGTCGGAAGCGGGCTGACTCCTACCCCCGCCGCCGCCGGCTGCTTCTGCTAGAGGGGTTGGGGGGGAGAGCGGGTGGGTCCCCCCGCACGACGGCCCCCGCAGGGCTCAAGGCTGCTCCGTCTCCCCCCCTCCCCCCCACCCGGCTTCCGTCCCCGCGGCCGCTTTCTCCTCAGTCGCTGCGGCCGCGTTCTGCTCAGCCGCCGCCTCCTCAGCCGCCGGTACCGCCGCGGCCGGACTCACCTCCCCTAGCAAAGCCGGATAGAGCGGAGCCAGCGGCGGACACGCGCAACCAGCCGCCAAGGCCCCGCCCCCGCCTCACACTGACCGGCTGCCCTAGCCAATCCACGCCCACCTGTCCGCATCCGCCTCCAATCCTGGGCCGGGAGCTTCAGACAGGCGCACTGTTCGGCCAGTGGCAACAAGGTGTAGGTCTCCTGGGGAAATCCCGCCCCCGATCCGGGATGGGCAGATAGAAAGACCAATCAAAAAGCAGAGTTTGGCCTGACCGACAAGGCTAAAAGCGAATTAAAAACCAAAGATCTCCGTGACATTTTCTTTCGCCTTTCTCTTCTTTTCTTTTTTCTTCTTTTATTTTTTTGGCAGGCGCAGGAAGCTGCGTGCTGATCCCGCCTGCAAGAGCTGGAAGAGAGGGTGGAATGAAAGAACCAATAATGAGCTGGGGACCAAGAACAGAGCAACCAATCCTTGGCTTCAAGATGAAGGGGGCTGGGACTGGGGCCAGATAGATACTTGATTTGACAAATGGAAGGAAAGATTGATCTCAGTCCCACCTTTCAGATCTCCTATAGGTCAGGATTGTGGAGAATTCGCTGTCATATCAGCGACGACCTCTTCAGGGGGCGGGCCCAAGTGAAAGGGGTGTGGTCTAAAGAAAGGGGGCGGGACCAAGGTGAAGAAGGCGGAGTCCAAATCTTCTCTAGTTCATTGATAGGAGCCGTCTAGTATCCCTTTCAAAGGCATAAGGTGTGAAGAAATAAGGGGGAGCAAAAGGAGATGTTGAAGGGCCGGCCGAGTAGCTCGGTTGGTTAAGAGCTCGCTCAAGAGTTTGAGCTCTGAGCAACAGCGGTTCGAGTCCAGCCCGAGCTGAGCAGCCGCTGAGCTGCCAACAGGTNCTCGCTCAAGAGTTTGAGCTCTGAGCAACAGCGGTTCGAGTCCAGCCCGAGCTGAGCAGCCGCTGAGCTGCCAACAGGTAGCAGGATGGCTCAGCGTTAAAAAAAAAAAAAAAAAGGGATGTCGAGCTTCAGAAACTCAAGGTCCAAAGTTACTCAAAACGACAGCCACAGAAGAAACTCAGTAGACTTGACAGTTCATAGCCTATGGCTGGTCTTCCATGGCTAATCCTCATCTTGGCACAAAGAGGCATTATCTCCTGAATTCACAACTCCACCCTCAAGGGACAGTAAGGCTATTGATAAAAATACAAATTAAAACAACAAAAATAATAAACTTAACCACAAAGATCGTAATTTTCTCCCATATTTTCTAAGTCAATAATTTCTAGTCATTAAAGTCTTACTAAAATAACATCTTTCTTTCACTTCCATATAACCTCACTTATCTGAATTTTCTTTTAAAATATGAAATAATAAGCTTACAGAATCTTATTTTACTAAAAGTGTGCACCCAGAACCCTGGAGATCACCTTTGATTCCTCTTTTGCCTGCTCACTCCTCCCCTTCTATTCAATCATCAAGTTTTAAACACTTTTTTTTTGTTAATTTTATTGGGGAATTGGGGGAGGGAACAGCGTTGGGGAATCAGGGAAGGGGATCGGACATGTTGCTGTCCTTTTGTTCTTCAGTCTAGTTGTGGAGGACGTCGTTTCCCTGGCCCATGTTGGTATTATCATTGTGCTTTTCCCGGGTGAGGCAGATTGGTCGCCGGCCATTGGACAGCCGCTCACAGTAGCTCACGCCGACTGCCAACCGCTCACGCTGGCTGCTGGCCACGCACAGTAGCTTATGGCAGCCCGCTGCAGCCTAAACCGTCGCCAGCGACTCACGGCAGCCCAGCTCCAGGTCAAGCTATTGTTCACCATCTTGGCTGTAGAGGGCACAGCGTCACTGGCCCATGTGGGATCCAAACCGGTGGCCCTGCTGCTCAGAGCTCAAGCTCCCAAGCCAACTCTTAACCATTGAGCCACTCGGCTGGCCCTTAAACACTTTTAAACACTCTTACACGCCCCTCCTCCCACCCCCAATCACCACAGTATTACCCAAATTTTCACCACTAGCGTTTTTTTTTAAGGCATCTTCCTGCCACAGGCTAGCTCTCCTCTAATCTATCCTCCATTGAGAGGATAGCAATCGTTTAAAAATACAAGCCTAACATGTCCCAACCCTTGATTAAAGTCAGTAAGTGTAAATGGCCCAGCACTATCTTGTTCCCACTTTCTTCAAGGGCCTTATCTCTCACCTCCACCTTTTTACTTCAGGCATTCTAAACTTCTTTAAGTCCCTCCAAGTTTGTTGCTTCCAAGCCTTCATGCATATCTTCAGTTCAATACACTCCCCACCACCCTCCACCTGAATGATAAGTTAGAGGAGTGAAGGGTGGTGGGGAGTGTATTTTTTTTTATACTGGAAAGCTTTCCCCAACCTTGTTGTAGAGTATGTGTCTCTGTTATAAAGCTCCATGGCACTGCCTCCCTCGTAGCACTGAGAACTCTATATTTTAATTGTTTACTGAGTTTGTCCAGGACAGAAAGCTTGCCTGTCCCACTCAATGTTGTATGCCTGTTTCCTAAGGCAGTGTCTAAAAGATAATATTTGCATGAGTTATTGAGCGCAGGAGAAGTGGGTACCAATCTACTAGGCTGTTTACTAGTTCTATGACTTAGGTAATTTAACTAACCTGAGTCCCAGTTGCCTCAGCTGAAAATGAAGATAATAATATGTGTGTCAAGTTGAGGTATTAAATTAGATGATATATTTAAAGTTCTTGGCAAAACGTACAAATTAGCGTATCTTCACTCTTTCCCTAGTCCCATCCTCACATAGTGTTTGGGATGTCTTTCCAATTTCCCAATGCATATCGGTCCCCTCCAAAGTGTAGTTTCCTGGAAGCTTCTTAGAAATGCAAAGTGTCAGGTTCACACCCAGATCTACCCAATCAGAATGTCTTGGCAGTGGGATCTCGGCAGGAATCTGTTTAACAAGCCCTCGGGTGATTCTTACACATGCTAAAATTTGAGAAAGCACTGGCCCAGAGGGAAGGAGCTGAGTCTTCTTAAACTTTTACTTTTCAGCACCTATTATAGCATAGTATCTGGCTCCTAGAAAATACTTAATACATGTGAAATAAATACATGCAATCCACAGAAAATGTTTGCTATTAGGAGCTATTTATTTCTGCCACAAACATTTATGGAGCACGAACTGTGTCTAGGCATGGTGCTAGGTTCAACAGTAGAGGAGGGGGATGCTTGAATTAAAGTCTCTGCCCTCCAGGGGCTCGAAATGTGAATTTCCAAACTGGTGTGTACACACTCCAGGTGGTGCACAAAGGGAACTCATAATAGGCTCCAGGAGGAAATCAGTACAACTAATGCTGCTTATGTTGTATTTCATCTTTTTAAAATGTCCATTTTGTGAATGTTTTATAATGTACATAATATACAGAGTAGTGTACATGTATATCATTTATAAATAAATAAAAATACATAAATTGGGATTCATGACCCTCCAAAAGTATCAAAAAATATTGAGAAATCACTGATCTAGTGGCCATTTAATGTTCATAGTTTAGATCAGCTCTGTCCAATAGAAATATAATGAGAGGCTCTATGAAATTTGAAATGTTCAAGTAGTCATATTAAAAAATTAAAAGAAACAATTATTTTTAATATATTTTATTTAACCTAATATATCCAAAATAGTCCTTTTTAACATGTAATTAATGTAAAAAATTGTATATGTATTTTGATATTAGGTCTTCGAAATCTGAAATTTGAAGTATCTTTTGCATCTATAGCACATCTCAGTTGAATTAAAAAATCAATTTCCTCGGTCACACTAGTCATATTTCAAGTGCTCATTAGCTTCATGTGGCTAGTGGCTACCATATTAGACAGCATAGATCTAGATCATGGGTTTGAATCTCTGTTCTGCCCCTTCGTAGCTCTGTGATCTTGGACAAGTTCCTTAACTTGTCTTAGTCTGAATTCCCTTGTCCATAAAATAGAGAGGATCCCTAGCTTCTCCAGTTGTTGTGATGATTCAAATAGACAGTTATGGAAAACACATAGCCCAGGGCCTGCCTGGCTCCTCATCAGAGATAGTAAGTGGGGTGGTTATTATTAGTATTACCATCCAAGGCAGAGTGTCCTACAGCGTCAGATGAGAAATACACTTTGGGCACTGCTCAGTTCATGTCCCCAGTGTTCCGTCCACGTGAGGCTGGCCTGACAGCCACCCAATTCCCCTCAAACACATCACCAGACAGCACAATATCCGGTCCTTTCCATTTTGTTCCATTTTCAGGAGCTGAGCGTGATGAACAAGAAGTCGGAAGTTAGTCAGCAGGATAGCACTTAGAGTCTAAAAAAAGCAAGAAGGACATCAGAATGCATAAGCAGGAATAGAATGTGCAGGAAGTGGGAGGTGATTTTCCCTTTTTTCCAAGAACTGGCTCTCCCTTGAGTTGCCTGCAAAGACTTTGTAGAACCTGGGCCAGGCCAGGGGGATTAAAAGGAAACCAAGGGAGCAACTCACATTCAACAGTGTTGGTTGCTCAGTTACTGTTATCTCATATGGCAAATCATCACTACATTCCATTTTGCTAATGAAGAAACAGACTCAGGAAGGCAAAGTAACTTGAACCTCACAAAGCTACGGAGTGGCCGGCTCTGCAGTGCATAGTCTTGCCACTGCTCCACACAGCTGGAGGGAATGGCCAAGGAAATGATGCTATAGAGTCAGGGAAGCATAGGCAGAAAATTCTTCCACTTTTAAGCCTGACAATCAAGGGCCTCCTTCACTGGGTCCCTGATACCGTTTCAACATTTTTTATCCAAATCCTCAGTGGCAGGCAGTAGGACCAACCTCTGACCTTTCAGCACACACGCCCTTCTGGGGTCATACTTCCTCCCTGTCCAGACTCCTCGCTGTAGGCCTGGAATTCCTTTTACCCAAGCTCTACTCACTTTTCAAGGCTCTGCTCCTGGAAACTCAGATCATTCAGGAAGCCTTTCTCTGCTACCAGGCACCTCTGGATGTCTCCCTCCCCTGAAGAACTTAGACATTCAATGTCTTCAATTGAAAGAGGATACTATGAAAAATTTCCTAGCTGTGTGAATTTGGGCACTTAACACTTTTGAGCTTTAGTTTCTTCAACTGTGAAGGGGGGGGGTAGTAATACCTATGCTGAAATAGAAAGTAATATGTACTTTGAAGGGATATTGACAGTATTAAATAAGGTCACATATTAATATACGAAACGCCTAGCACAGGGCCTGACACAGAGTAGCCACTCAATCCAGATAGCTTCCTTCCCCGCTTCTTTGTATTGTTTACGGATAATTTGTTTTTTTTCCTGGTGTGTCCATTTCCAGTGCTCTTCCGTTTGGGGAATTGGGTGGGCGGGTATGGGGAATGAGATGTGATACTTAAATCTTAATAAGTTATAAGTGTATTCTGTTATTTCCCCTTGTTTATTTTCCAGTGCCCCTCTCGGCCTTCTATCCTCTATCGGCCTTGTGACAGGGCATAAAGCTGTCAGTGCCAAAGTAAATTGGAGACTTGATAAAATAGAGTGTGAGCAAGACTGCAAACCTTTGAGCATTTCATAGTGTTGTGGGACAAAGGACATGTCCACAAACAGCTA